TGAGAGCTCAGTTTTGGGTGGAAGCACGGTTTTCTGACTCCAAAATTGTAGATAGCTTATCTTTGAATTTTAGTAAGTATTTGACTACACTGTTGCCAAATCATGGATAAGATGAAGAAATGTGATTTGGTACTAATGGTAGTTGGAATGGATTTGTAGCTAACAGAGCAATTTGGTAAAGCAGTGTCAACCTCCACCCAGATCTCAAGTGATGTGCTAAAGAGCTCTATCTTTGGTTCTAACTTAAAACTTTGTTTTTTAAAAAACAAAACAAAACAAAAACCAAACAGAACTCTGCAACATGGCTTGAACTGTGCCAGGTATTGGTTGGAAGGAGCCTTGGCTTAATTGAAGTTCAAGCAGAAAGGATTTAAGGACAGTGTTAGATTATGTTAATCTCGTGGGCTAAGAATGGGAGTGTGGGCTGTGTCCAAAGCAAGATGGGGCCCATTTGTAGAATATTCCTAAGGAAGAAGCCTCCAGATACAATGTTTCTGCTAGACTCTGTGTAGGTAATGCGTTAGGATCAGAGTGTCCTAATTTATGTAGAATTTTGACTGTAGTATGTGGGGACAGCAACTGAGATAGTGAAGAATTTAGGAATTATTAGAGTCAGGAGGTGCTTCACCTGGAGGATAAAGGAGAGGACAGGTGTGAGAGAGCAGATATTAGACATTTTCCTAATTCTGTAGGGCAGAACTAAGATCTCAAAGGAAGTTGATTTAGGGTTGTATGACTAAAAATAGATATTTCTCACAGGTGACCCACTATCTGAAGGAGGGGGGAGGATCACCTAATATCTGAATGGTGAACTGGCTGCCCTGTGAGGCAGTGAAATGAGTTACTAGTTTTAGGTTCATGTGGAAGCCATGTGACCACCTGTCTGTGGTGTTGTGGGAGTGGAGTCCTGTATGAGTTAGGAATTGGTGGTTTTCAGACTATTTTGACCTCTCTCCATAGTAAGAAACATATTTCCCATTACAACCCAATATATATGTGTGAGCATCTGAAATACAGATTTCATGAAATAACGTATACCCAGGTTAAGTGTGTTGCTCATAGTTTCTATTATATTTCTTTCGTTTGAAAAAGTGGGTTGCTAATCACTAAATTTAACAACTCATTAAAGGATTGAGGCTGAGTCCGAAAATCACTGGACTAGACTAATCTCTGAAATCCTTGCAAAACTATGATCTTGTGATTGTTCTACTCAGTAACCTAGGACTAAACATTAGACCCACAAGATTCCATCCATACTGCAGGTCCTTGGTGGCTGTTCATTAATTTTGATGATCAATATCTTTAGGGAGGCTGAAAATGAGAACATACTCTTATGTCTTGATTCTTCTCACCTCTGCCTCTCACCCCACCCCCAATTCAGGTTTTCCATCGTTTCTTAAATTCATCTCTACTTTTTTGAAGAATCTTTTCCTTAATACATTTTCATTATCTTGTTTTCCCTCTGAATGAACATTTGGTGCCAGTTTGTTCTTTCACTTAGTACCTTTCCCGATTTGTAATAATGTCTTCAGGTGCTTTACACAAACACCTACTAACCTTTAATGTAGGAAACAATTGACTTTCTTATTTGAAACCCATGATCTTAAAAGCGCTCTTTTATCTGAAGTATTTTGACACATAATTGCTTTGAGAGAGCTTGTTTGGAGGTTCTAGCAGGGGAGCGCAGCTACTCGTATACCCTTGACCGAAGAACGGTCCTCCTCTATCGGGGAAGGTCGTCCTCTTCGACCGAGCGCGCAGCTTCGGGAGGGACGCACATGGAGCAGTGAGGGAGGAAGGGGACACCCGCCTAGCCAGCCAGATCAGCCGAATCAACCCTGGCGATCAATGGGGTGACAGATGTCGCAGCCAGATCGCCCTCACATCCACATAATTGCTTTGAGAGTTACAAAAAAGAAAAAAGACAAGACAAAGTAAGGTTTTTCATTTTGATTCACAAAAGGAAGAAGGCTAAGAAACTGTTCTGTGTAGACCTCTTGTCCAGATGTGATTCTGTTTTAGAACTGGTTCATCTGAGTAAATGGACAAGGGAAAAGAATGCAGTTCTCTAAAGTTGCTAAAGTCAGATATTTTGGAGATGATACAAAGTGAAATGGGATTATGTGAAGTGAAATGACAGCCTTCTGTGGTACCAGAGAATTAGGGTTATTCAGTCACATGGACACAGTGATTCCCAGAGGCCCCGTCTGTTGGCCATTGTCCGCCATGGTCTGTGATGACGAATCCCTGCCGGCCCGCCTACTCGACTCCGCCTCTGCCCTTCCTGCTGACGTGGGCCAAGTACTCGTGGATTTACTTAAGTAGTAGCCTAAACAAAGCACCGCTGAGTGGATACATTTAGTATGGTAATAATCATTTTTAGTAATTCCTAAAAGAGGATGTACATGATGAGTTTTTATTATTTATTTTTATTTATTTTTAAGATTTTATTCATTTATTTGAGAGAGAGAGAATGAGAGAGAGAGAGCACATGAGAGGGGGGAGGGTCAGAGGGAGAGCCAGACTCCCTGCGGAGCAGGGAGCCCGATGCAGGACTCGATCCCGGGACTCCAGGATCATGACCTGAGCTGAAGGCAGTCGCTTAACCGACTGAGCCACCCAGGCACCCCATGATGAGTTTTTAGGGCACCAAGAGAAGGCAGTTTGCTAGCTGGAAGGCCACTTCTGAAACAGAAATTAAGAGGTTATTTTTTTACGGCATTTATCTATTTTAATAAATTGTTTGTTCTGGGAAAATTAAGTGTAGCTTATAAAAATGATTATTTAGTCTGTTAAAACATTTTAAGACCATTGAGGTAAATTATATGCACTTTTTACGAGCAGAGAGATTGAGATGTAGTGGTAAGATACAGTTATAATGATTAAAAAAAAAGATGCACTTCATTACCTTTTTAATTCAAATCAGTGTAATCAATGTAATTTATTATTGTAGTTACCCTTTGGTTCAGAGAGGCAACCACTCTGAGTGTAATTTGGCATATTCTTTCCAGTCTTTTTTTTTTTCTATGTATTTTTTGCATAGCTCATACTGGGTTGTATAATTTTGTATCTTGTTCTTTTTATTTAATATAGTTTTTCTGGCCTGATATTATTCCGTTGGCTGGATAGTCCTACCATAGTTAACATAGTTTCGTTTTACCTAATGAGACACAAATTAAGACTTTTGAGTTACAGAAAATGTTCAGATTCTTTTGTTCTACTGAAGTTATGTGTTTTATTTATTTATTTAAGGTGTTTTCTTGGATCTTGAACATCTTTAAACAAAAAGACTCGTTGTAGTAATATTTGACTTAGACTGTTTTTCTTCTATTGCTTATGTCTCATCAAACTTAATACCGTTTGGGACTTAAAAATATTTTTAAGTTACTACATGTTCTCCCATTCATATCAGGATTAGGGAAGGAGATATATCCAAGAATTATTGAGTCCTTCCTTCATTTATTTACCATATTATTCTTTTTTCTTTTTCCTTTCTGTATGGTTTCCTAGGTCAGACATTTTGAGTAATTGATGTAATAATTTTCCCCTTTGGGTGTCAGGCATTAAAAATAGCCATTGCATAAGATAGTTTTCCCCTTTTTCTTTCTTTTTTCCTTTTTAATTTTTTTTAGAGAGAGTGTGTGTGTGCAAGGGAGGGATGTGTAGAGGGAGGGAGAGAGAGACAGAGAATCTTAAGCAAACTCCACACCCAGCGCGGAGCCCAGCATGGGGCTCAGTCTCACAACCTTGAGATCATGACCTGAGCCAAAATCAGGGGTCAGACGCTCAACCAGCCGAGCCACCCAGGATCCCCAAGATTTTATTTTTACATAACCTCTACCCCCAGTGTGTGGCTTGAACTCACAACTCTGAGCTCAGGAGTTTCATGCTCTTCCAACCAAGCCAGCCAGGTGCCCACTTTTTCTTATTATCCAGGTGAAGGTAACAACATGCAGAATGTGTGGAGTGGTTAGGGAAGGCCGAGATACTAAGAGCTCTCAACTGCTAAGTTCAGAAGGCTTAGTAGTTGAAGGCTGGCATTAGTACTGACTTTGCTTCATGGTGCTGTGAAGATACGGAGTCATAGGGAAGAGTCTAAGCATGGGAACTGAGTCAGGGTCATGAGGCTCGAGTGACTTCTGGTCTTCCGTGGCTACATACAAAGTCACCTGATCATCCTGCCTTTTTCCTTTATTCGCTGAATAAATACCACTAGTTTAATAATTGCAGATAACATTTATCAATTTCTTTCTAAATGCCAGGCTAAGTACTTTTGACATGAACCGTTAGCTAGTTATTGTGAACTTGGTGGTGACCATGTTAGAAAAATAGTATAGTACTTTGTGTGATGAGAGCTGTTTTCAGTTTACTTTGTGGTTGGTCGCTAATGTATTAGGATATGGCCATTTTAGACTTCTCCGCTGTCTTATGCAAGGTGAATTGATTTTTCCAGATACAGCAGTAGAGGCATTCTTTTAAAAAAAAAAAAGTTGTTTTGGCCTTTTTCTTTGTTGTAGAATTGCAGTATGTTAGAAGTACTTGAGGTGTTTTTAAATTTTTTTAATTAAAAAACAAATGAGAATAAGAGAGTTGGTATATCCTCAAAGGGATCATGATTCCTAGAATTGAAAACTGTCCCAAAGCTGGAGAGAGGCAGCCAGACCTGTGGGTGTGGGCTGTGTCTGCACTGTGGCCCAGAGCCAGGACGGGGTTGGGAGTGCTGGAAGCACACTTGATTTTGGCTGCAGTTTTTTTTTTTTTTTTTTTTTTAAGATTTACTTGTTTAAGAGAGAGAGCCCGCAAGCAGGGGAGGGCAGAGGGAGAGGGAGACAAGCAGACTCCCCGCTGAGTGGAGAGCTGGATGCAGGGCTCCATTCCAGGACCCTGAGATCACGACCTGAGCTGAAATCGAGTCAGGCGCTTCACCGACTGAACCACCCAGGCGCCCGTTGGCTTCAGTTTTAAAGGCTGCATTTTAGTTTTTATTGATTGATTAGCTTCAGTTCCTAAATATAATGTTGAAAGGTATGGCCATTTTTGTGTGTGTTTTGGTGGGGTGGGAGTGTATTTGTTAGGGAAAAGGAAGGACAGAGGGATCTTGCTTTTTCTTTTTTCTTGATTCCCCTGAGTCCTTCCTGACCTCATGCAGTAATCAGTAGCTACCCGTAATGTCAAAATGTTAGAAAAGCTTGTTTATTTAACAGTTGGGATTTGGGCAATAAAAATACCAAGAGAAATAAATAACACAGATAACAAGTTTCCTTCGTGATTTCAGATAGTAAGTACGAGATAACTGCCTATTTTCCCCTCCAGTGGATTCTCCATCCCTCTTTTTCTCCAAAAGTTATCGAATGTTCACATTGACCGGATGTCGTTCTTTGCTGTGATCTAAAGACCTTAGATATTTACTCCTCAAAATGACTCCGCACCTTTAATAGCAAACAGTGGAGCTCCAACAGCAGTCCCTCCCCTTTCTGACCCGGGTTGTATCCATGCTGTCGGATCTGTAGTGAGGCTGGTCTGAAGATGTTGTGGGGGTGAACATGGTTTTAGATGCTGATTTAATTAGTTCATTATTTTTTATCGGAGGAGTTGTAGAGAACTTTGAAAACCACATGGAAGAAATTAATGAGCCTGAATCTATTACTCATAGATAAATCATTGGTGCATTTTTTCCAGTCTTTTCTGTATACTGTAATTGAGGACTGGGTTGGGGGAGGGTAGGGCCTTCAGAGATAATTTCAGATCATGGTTAAAATTGTAATAAATTGTCATTATCTGGAGCGGTTTGTTCTAGAGAGCTGGGACCTCTGCTGGCCTCGGTGTTAGGCGGTGGTGGCTACCGTTAGTACCAGCCGGGATCTCCCAGAGGGGTTCGGGTTATTGCTTGGTGGCTGGGGGGGGCAGAGGAAGAGGTGGGGTTGGAGTCCTGCATCTCCCTCCTCTTGCTTGAAGCAGAAGAACCTCTGGGTTTGCTCAGGACAGGCATTTATTTAATCAGCTGCAACCAAATTATGTAGCCCCTGAAGTCAAAATGTGTCCCAGTCCCTGACACACCCCAGTTACCATGAACCTACAAGCCAGATAATCTCCCAGTCATTGAGAGTTCATATGTAATATACAGTTCTGAAAGGTTTTTAGTTATGATCTCAGTATAATGGTAATGAGTCCTCTTGAAATTGGGAGAATAGTTTAGGCTGGTATGGCTTTCCTAATCAGAAAACCTGTTAAATTTTGCTTGTAATGCTTGGGAGAAAGCAGAGGTAGCAAGACTGGGGGCCCCAATACTCCAGTATTTAGTAACTCCAGAAGTAGACTGACATTCTGCCAGTTATGCAGAGGGACTTTAGAAGCTCTCTTTTGGGAAGTTTGCCTTATGTGATTCTCCATATATATATGCTGTTGCACTTTACATGAGTCATTCATGGTGTGTATTGTCTAACAAGTGAAGGTTAGAATTTTCTAGAATATATTGGATCTTTGGAAGAAGCTTGACTACTTGTTTCGTTATAGAAATGTGCAGCTAGAATACTAATTTATTCTTGTAACTTAATTTATAAATAAAAGTTATTACTTGTTAACTAGTATTTTTTTTTCCAGTTTCTCTTCAGCAACGGGTAGCAGAATTGGAAAAAATTAATGCAGAATTTTTACGTGCACAGCAGCAGCTTGAGCAAGAATTTAATCAAAAGAGAGCAAAATTTAAAGAGTTATATTTGGCTAAAGAGGGTAAGTTCCTAAGTCTCTCTCTAACCCCCCATACTAAGACTGCCTTAAAATGTCGAGTTTCTTGGTAGTACAATGTTAATTTTATCTTTTGAACACACCTTGATTTTATTTGTATTTACACTGTAAGCTAGAAGCCTTTTAGAGGTTAGAGTTAAGAATGGAACTGATAGGACACGTTGGAAAATGCAGGGTTCGGGTTTTTCCTGGTCTTTGAGCTTCACAATGATACGTAACGTAGGTAGGCTACGGCACCCTGGGACGCAGGGCTCTCGGTGCTCTTCGTGCCTGAGAGAGTCCAGGCGAAGCGGACTGGGGTGTTTGAGAAAGCCTCGGCCATGTCACAGAGTGTCGCACACACTGACACTTCACGGAGTCGATCCCGCAGATGATCCCTTACTTATCAGCAGAGACCTAGGACCCCCTGTGAGGCAGACGCAGTGCTGGGTGCTGGCTGTGAAGAAGGAGCCGGAGTCACTGGGACCTGTAACTCCTAGAACTTGACCTCGAGTGAGGAGAGAAGCATACGGGGCAGATACGGGGGCGTATCGAGAGCGCCTGGCCCTGCAGGGTAAGGACAGGGTTACATGTTGGGCATTGACCTCGGAAAACACGGCTGTGGCTCCCGCCGCACTCCCCCCCCACCCCCCACCAGTGGTTCCCAGAGTGTGGTTGCCCAACAGCAGCATCAACGTCACAGTCACCTGGGAAACCTGCTGGAAATGCACTGTTTGGGGTCCTGGCTCAGACTTGACTGGCTCAGGGTCCAGCAGTTGGTGTTTTAAGCCGTTCTTCAGGTGATTCAGATGCTGGATAAAATCTCCCTGAGAGCTTGTTCGAACACCGTGAGTTGGGGCAGGGCCCGAGAATCTGCATTTCCAGTGAGCTGTAGGTGCTTGCAGTACAAGGACCACACAATTTGGGAGCCGCTGCTAGAGACTGGTGATCACCCAACTTTTAAATATCACTTTATGGAGGCACTCCATACATACATACACCCCTCGTACCTTTTCTGAAGTTGGTGCTTAAAATTTTTTATTTTAAATTTAAAAAGGTGCAAAAGATATAAATTCTATATTATTGTCAACATTAAGAATTTAAAACTTCATGCTCTTAAACATATCCAGCAGAATCAATGATTTAATATCTATCACCATTCATTTTAAAAAATACGTGAATAAGCTCTTTAGCAGAAGTTTTACATTTTTTCCCCTCCTTGTGTTGGGTTTTCAGTTCTACATCTCCCTCAGAATTTTATTCTAAAAAGTTATTTTTTTTCTTTTTTTAGGAACACAAGCTTGAGTGTGCTTCAGAATTTTACTTGTAGGGTTTGTTAGAGCAGAGATTGTGGGTCTTCTCCCCCAGAGTTTCTGACTTACCAGGTCTGTGGAGTCCTGGAGTTTACACTTCTAGTAAGTTAGCAAGTGGCGCTGATGCTTTTGGTTCAGGGACCATACTTTGAGAGCCGTGGGTGATATTTGATGCTTGAAAGCCTTTTTTAAAGAAAATTTTATCAGACTTCTCTGTGACAGAAATTACATGCTTATTTCTTCTGCACTGAGTTACCATTACAGTTATTAATAAGTGCACAGTTGGGCACACTGTAAATATTTTATACGTTTAAAATATAATAAAGTGTAAAAATTATTGGAAATGCAGGTCTTATGAGATACAATTGGGTCTCCCTCCCAATTAAGTCATAACCTCTGCGTGAATAATATTTACTTGTAGAAAAGGATAAGTTTCAGGTTTTTTTTTTTTTAAGATTTTATTTATTAATTTGAGAGAGAGAGCACAAGGGGGAGTGGGGGAGGGGTAAAGGGAGAGAGAGAAACCCAAGCAGACTCCCTGCTGAGTGCAGAGCCCAAGACGGATCTCGATCCCAGGACCCTGGGATCATGACTCGAGCCAAAGGCAGACGCCTAAGAAACTGAGCCACCCAGGCATCCCCAGTTTGTT